TGCGCCGCTTTTGCGAGGTCGGCGGCGGCGCTCCCGGAAATGGCTTCGGGGGCCTCATCGCTGCTCTCGTCCTCTCCCTCCCATGCCTTTTGTTGCTCGTCAGAAGTTTCTGCGGCGGCATCCGGCTCGGCGCTAGGCCTAGGGACCGCGTGCGCCGCGCGCTCGTCCACGATGGCCTCCTCCGGCGGCGACTTGCTCCTGAAGCGAACGTGCTGCTGAACGACGTCGTCCTCAGGCTCCGTGCCTTCGTCGTCCCCGTCGTCGCGGTCTCGCGTAGACGATTCGACTGTGCGGATTTCCAGCGCCTTGCCATCTACAGCGCTCGCCTCTCCTGTGGCAGCAGCATCTGGCTTTTGGCTGGCGGCATGGTCCGGAGAGCTGCCCTCACCCACCACCGCGACGGCGGGCACGTCGGCGCCCTCGCCTAGCCTCTGCTTCTTCGACGGCGGTGCCGCTTCATCTAGCGACCTCTTGTGTCCTTGCTGCTGTTGTTGCTGCTCTCCCTCTTCACCTGGCTCTGCCGGCATGTCGCGATGCTGCGACATGTACTCGTTTGCGTGCGTTTGCGCGTCTGCGTGGGTGTCGGCGGCGTCGGCGGGCGCGGGCGAACTTCGTGCTGGGGTGGCGGATCGGCGGAGGAAGCTGGCGACGCGCGAGAGCATTGGCCTTGGTTGCGCAGTTTGCAGAGGTTGTTGTGAATGGACGGCGGCTGCTGATAAAGCTTACGATGTGGCCTACGGTGGTCGGTAGGAAATTTTCGGGTTGTGGCCGAGGGAAGTGCCAAGATTTCGCGTTGTGGAGAGGCACGTGAACTCAGCCAGGGGCCTTCCCGCCGCATCTCTAGAAATCTACGTTGTCGCGTGCTCGGTCTTTCACCGTTATCACTGAAGTAACACCAAAATACACTATTCATTGAGCAGACTGGCATTCCAGCTCCAGCTTCCAGCCTCCGGGCTGTTAGAAGCACGCTCAGACATAATCGTACAAAGTTCCTCTCAACCCGTGTTTCGTTACCGCTTGCTTTTCCGAACAAGATGCAGAACGCCGTGCGATGCCAGAACAAAGGAAACGGCGTTCAACGCCTTTGGTACGCCTCCATGGCCTTCTGCAGCTCCTCCAACGAACCGCGATCGCCGTATGCGTCGAGTAGCGCGGCCTGCCTAGCCGTCTCGGCGACGTTGTTGGCCTTGCCCGACACCTCGGCCGAGCCGTGACGGTCTTGGCGGCTTTCCCAGGCGTTGGCGGCCGCGAAGCCTTGATTTCTCCAGTCAGCTCCACCGAGCCTCAAAATGGCGTATTCACTTGCGAGAGTCCAACCTAGCGCGATGACTGCCATGGCGGGCAGGTACCTGGGCGGAGGAGTCAGTACTTCGGTACGGTCCAGGCCGTGCTGTGGGCACGCGATTGAGCGCGGGAGGGGCGCGTGGGGCAGGCGGGAAGACGACTCACCATCTCCCCACGGGACCGAGCGGGCGCGGTCGCGATAGCGCGGCGGCCATGGGATTGCTCAGGTGCGGGGCGGAATAAGGGTGGTACAGTGCGAGGTCCGGGTGTGGCATCGAGGTCGTGGTGAAGGGACGGGTGGGCTTGAACGGGAGAGGGCGCGACATTTTTCCAGATCGAAGGCGCGTAGGCCGCGGCACGTGTAAACGGGGCTTTTATAGCGAGCCGGTTGGATGGCGCCGAGATGAACGTAATCGACGCGGGCGGATTGGCGCGGCAATCGGGTTTCTACGCAGCAGGGCGGCGCAAAGCGCAGTGGACGGCGACTGTAGCGGCGCGGTAGGTCCCGCTGGTCTCGTGGATGGGTGCGGTTTGTGGAGTAGGCAGCACGAGATGTGTGATTGGCGGCACAGATTCTGGGGCAAACGTGTGGAGCAGACTTCGGATTAGGCACGGCACTTGGGTCCTTGAGTGAAGGTAGGCTGTGGAGGCTCGCAGTGCGCGCCGGACGGCATCTATATGAACGGCTGCGGCAGCATGCCATGAGGCGCCTGCTGCTGTGCGCATATTGTGGGGAAGCGTGATGGCACCACTCTCTCGTGGTTGTTCTGTCGCTCACTGTCTCAGGCCACGACGCAGTCGCGGCGACGCAGTCGGCGAATCTGGACGGCTTCTGGGGCGGCGATTGGGCGGCGGGGGAGTGCGCGGGGATGTGGAGTGACTGCAGGACCGGGCGGCGCCGGGCCTGGGCGGGCTTGGCCCTGCCCCGCGACCGATTGTGGCCTGACCGGCTGCACGTGCTGCGCGACTGCCTGGGGACCACGAGCTCCCGAAAACGCCCGAGGCCGGCATTTCTCTTTGGTCTCGTCGCGGGGTGCTCCGGCGGAAGCGTTCGATGGCCAAGCGGGGCGTAGGGGCAGTGTGAGGCCGCGCCTCCTGTTTGAAGTGAGCGGCGGCCGTGCCGCCGTAGATGTGGCGTTTCGCTGCGACAGAGAAGGCAATGAAGCATCAATGAACGATGGAGTCGGGCCTCTGTTGTCAGATTTCCTCCCCACTGTCGATTTTCGCATGCTCTGTTCCGAGCTAAATCATAGGATTCCTGGATAGCTGGACCACGACAACAGCTTGGAAGTTCTGCGCCAAGAGTCGGGACAGGTTATAAGCTTGAAACGCATTCGCCGTATCTCGCCTTAGCTTCGCCGCCGAGGCTTTGCCGATGTGTACCTCGAGCCAGTCGCGTTTCTACAAAGACAATAGGTGTTCATTCGAGAGCTTCAACTGAGCCGTAGGCTATTCGCAGTGTTCTAGGAGAAATAAGATCCGTGTCCTCTGGCTAGCAAACGCATAAATGTCCGATAATACTCCACGTGCTGCCAATCGCTCACTTGCACCTCTTCATCATGGCCATCGGTGTCCGATGAGCCTGGGATCGTTTTCAATACCGGCTCCTATTCCGTTCATTTCGCTCCCTCGAAGCCAGACATGCTCCCTCCCATTGCTGCAATCGCGGCATGCGGAAGCCTTGTTACCGCCGTCAAGTCCGCCTGGGAACTCCGGCGTATGGTAAAGAACAAGCGGCAGAAGCGCCGCGATGAGGACGAGGCACTTGACATCCTCGACGAGCTGGAGGACGCGTACGAGGACGGCCTGCTGACGGAGGTCGACTATAGCCGCTATTATAGTCGTTATCTCGAGTCCGTGGCTGAAGGAGACTGTGAGTTGACGTAAAGTTTTGGGACAGACTAAATGGGACTAACGGGCGGCAGTGACGGGCCTACGCAAACTGAGAATGCACATTGACATCGTCGCGGTGAGGCAAAAAATGGTGCCACGATCGAGGAGCTTGGAAGTGGCGAGGACGCAAGCGCAATCAGCGACGTCGCGGCGGGGAGCTCCGCCGTCCATCCCTTCGCCCAGCCAGTGTTCGAGCAGCGAGGCTTATTCGAGCGCTCAATCCGTGGGTTCCAGTTTCCCGAGCACCGATTCAATCTAGGCTGACAATTCCATTTGCAGGACATGTACCACCAGTACCAGCATCGCCCGTACGCGCCACACAACCCACATGCTTCGCGCTTGGCCTCCCAGCACCCCTATCACAGCACGACGTCCTCGCGTGCCGGCTCGAGGCAGGTATCTCCTGCGCCCGACCCTCCAACGCGGTCCATTCTACGGAGGGTGTCTCGCCGTGTCTTTGTCTCGGATGGTTCTCCGACACGCTCGGTTACGCCCTCGGAGTCGTTTCGAAGCGCGTCTCCCGGGCGGCGATCACACGTGTACGTTAGAGAGTCCAGTAGCCGGTATTCGTCGCCGGAGAAGTCGTCACGCTGGTGAGCCGACAATGGAATTGAGGGCGAGTACAGGCGGCGTTGCTACTAGAAGTATGTTGGTTTGTTCGGATGTTCGATAGATACTCGTCTGGTCTGGTGTCAATTGACTTGTGGTTTGTATGAAGAGCTCATCAATTACATCACATGACATTATTATGCTTCTGAGCCGGAACGCTCTATAAGTTGAAGTGATTTTACTTTTTTTTCCATGTTCTCGTCTAGAAGAGCGCAGATAGCATCTGTTCCCCTAATACCTGGAGTTGATTTTCTTTATAGTCTAAGATACATAGAGTATAGAAGGCGTATCGCTTTTTGTACAAAGCATATCGAAAAGACTAAAAGCAGAGGTGCTAGATAGAAAAGTTAAAAGAACAAAAACACCCCTTAGTATCCGCGATACTAGGCTAGCAGCTCTCCATTTTATACTATTATCGGTAACGTTATCCCTAATTACAATATAATATTTATAAAGAGGTATTATACCCCAGGTTACTTTTTGTAAAGCGAGACTGAAGTAAGAGGAGACTAGAATAAACTTGTTAGAACTAGCATGCCCTAGCCTGCGACTAGCCAACTCGGCCAAAAGACTGGCACAGTATCGCACTTCAGTGCGATGCTGCTGGCTAGGGACTATATATATGCTAATAAAGCTAGAGGTTGACTAAGTATACTGATGCTTTTTAATAAACGTATAGGAATATTCGTACTACGAGTAGGTCGTAAGATATATAACGGACCCTAGAGGATTTTAATCTTACATAGGTTCTAGCCCTGGGTCGCAGCGAATATACGACTGTTATAATTCTTGTTTTAGTACCTTATGCTTAGGCTAGATCTACGTTCTATAAGGATACGTCGCTTAATAAAGTCCTTGTAGTAGGTAACTGCTGCATTTAGTGTCTATAACTGCTGGGTAGTTTGGAAAGAGTACTAGAGTAGGCCTTCTGCAGGCCCTAACCCTGTTATACGACACACTGGTTATCTACGGCTTTCGTGTCTAGGGAGGTCTATGCTGAGTGCAGTGGGTGCAAGGAACTCATTGAGTGTCTACGGAGTTTCTAGGGAACGGAAGTCTCTAATTTAGTCCCAGATATTCGGCGCCTCCCGCCTGAAGTGATTTTACTAGGACTGTATGGAAAGTAGTACGAGTTCGTTGTAAATCATGTGTTGGTACTGTGTATGTGTAAATCTGGGTTTATATTTTGTAAACTCGAACTAAGATATATAGTCAGGCTTGTGGTCTAGTGGTATGACGTTCGCTTCACACGCGAAAGGTCCTGGGTTCGATCCCCTGCAGGCCTATCACTTTGAACTTTTTTTTTTCTTCTTCCGCTGCGACAGCATTCATCTGACAAGACGTTGGTTCGAGGCATCCTTTTCGTTGGAATGCACTTCTAGCGGATGTTCGCACATGTGGCTCGGTCAAAAATACGTGCATTGGTTCTTTTTGCCACCCTATCCAGCCAGGGCTTCGCCCGAGCAAAAAATTGTTCGCATCACAAAACATACAACATGGTAACGTGAAGCAAATTTACCGAGAACGCAACACCGCAGCAAGCATCATTTCCAATAGAGAGATCGACTGTTCGGACTCCACTCAATCCTACTAAACTTCCTACGACTTCGCCTCCTCTAGCTCAAGCTCCAGCCGCCGGATGCGCTCATCCTTCTCGCGGTCGCTCCGCTGCTCGCCCAGCCGCGTCTTGAGTGTATCGACCTCGGCAGTCAACTGCGCAATCTGGTCTGATTGCGTGGTCATGGCCTTGCTCTGCATCTCGAGCATTGATTTGATCTCGGCGAGGGTGCCCTTGATGCCCTCGGCGGCGGCGGTGGCGGCCGGGGCGCGAGGCGTCGGCGCTTCGGCGGTCTGGGGCGGAGAGGAAGGCGTCAGCGTGGGCTGCGCGGCAGGCTTGGGCTGAGGCGGCGCAGCGGCGGCGACAAGGGACGGCTTCACGGGTTCGGCAACCTTTTGAGCAGGGCGCTCCACTGGCTTGGGCACCTCTTCAAACGACGACGTCTCATCCTCCTCCGACTCCTCCGGCTCATTGTCGGCGTACTTGTTGGCCATTTCGGCGATGGACGCCTTGTTTTCTTTCATGGACGGCGGTGGGCTGCGCGCCGCGGCCGGCGCTGAGGTGGGCGCCGGCTTGGGCTCCTCCTTTTTTGGCGGTGGGGCATTGGCGGCGGGCGCCGGTTGCGCCGCCGAAACTGCCGGCTTGTAGCTCTCGGGCGGGAGCACGGTAGGCTCCTCGCCCTCGTAAACGCTCTCGAGGGAGATTTTGGGGGGAAGCCCCTCGTTGCCGGCGAACCAGTTAGCCGCCGACATGGACGGCTTGAGGCCGAGGGTAGGCGGGTAAATGTCGTTCTGAAAAACTTCGGCACGCCGCGGTACGATGAAGGAGATGGGCTCGACGTAGGTGTCGTTGACCGTTTTGAAAGCACGCATGACCTCGTTTTCGTGGACCTGCTCGGTTAGCGCGGGCGCTCACCCGAAGGCGGAGGGCTTACATTGACACCTCGTTTGGGCAAAAAGGCGATGCCGCGCTGCGGCTCACTCGACTGGTAGGCGTTGAGGTATTCGAACTTGTCGTTTTCGTACTCGTAGTAGCGAATATTGCCGTCACTACGCGCGTTAGATGTCGTTATATTGCTTCGGAACTGGCGACCCACCCCTTGCCAGCCAGATACAGGCACTTGGTCCCATCGTCCCAAAACGGCATGCAGACACCCGATATCGAGTCTAGAATCTGGAACCCGCCGATTGGGTCACCAGGGGTCCGCACATCCCACAGCCCCAGCTGACGGTCGCTCATCTTGGAGAAGCCTGTCGTGGCGACGCGGTCGTGCTCGCCCATCCACACGGAACGGCTGTTCTTGGCCCCTGGGTGGCCCGGCTGCTCGATGGCCGGCTTCTGTTGGCGGGAATCCCAGATGCGCAGCTTCTTGTCGCGGCACGTCGTCACGAGTAGCGAGCCATTGGCGCTCCACGACAGCGACTGTACGATGTCGCCGTGCTTGAGCGACAACTTGGCCGCGCTCGACTCAACGTCCCAGATCTTGATGCTGTAGTCGCCCGAAGCGCTGGCAAGGACGTTTTCTGCGGACGGGTTGAAGAGCACGTGCCCGACCTTCCTGCGACCTGTCAGCGCATGCAGTTTGAACGATCTCAGCAGTCCGACCTCGAGTGTCCGGTAAACTTGGAGACGGGAGAGACATCGGCAGGCTCTTCTGCGTCGGTGTGGAGCGTAAAGTCCTCCGGGACTTTCCAGATAAACACCTGCGATGCGCGGTCAGTCGCGCGCGCAAAACCCTGCAAAGCGATCCGCGCTCACCTTGCCGTCCTCGGAAGCGGAGGCAATCAGGTTATCGTCAAACGGACTCCTACTCAGTCGTGAGCACAGCTACCTAGCAACGGCTAGCACGTGACCCTACCAGTCGGTGTCCAGTACAGCGGCTGTGTGCCCGCGAAACAGCGGAATATGCTCGGGTATGCGGCCGCGCTCGCCTAGAGGAATGACAGAGAAGGCGCCGCCGCCGCTTGACTCCCAGTTGACGGAGATGTAGTGCGGGTTTGCCTGCGCGTGGTTGGTCGTCAGCGGCCGCGATCCATCTCTCTGGTCTGTTGCGGCGTCTTGCCTTGACGAGGTTGGTGTCCCAAGCATTCTTGGAGATGCGGAGGTTGTCGTAGCATTGCTCCTGTGGGCGGCACTGCCGTCAGCGATTGCGCTCGGCGCGCTCGAACGATTGCTTGCCTTTTTCGTCGACCGCCCAAAGACGTGTCCTGCGTGTGCGTTAGTGGGTTGTACGAGGCAGCGTGGCGATAGCAGCGGGCTGAACTCACGGTACTTGGACGCGCGCACGAATCGGCCGGACATCTCTTCTGCACCGCGAAGGCGGGGTATTCCAAAGGACTAGATACTAGAGAACGGCGGGGAGGAGGGAGCGAGGGGTATATTGGAGAGGCTATGTATGTCGGGGACGAGGGTGGAGAGCGATCAAGGAGATGCCCGCGGCGCGTAAGCCGGCGTGGTGAAACTCGAAGACCCTGGCGATGGTGTGGCCGGCCATGAGAGGACCCTCGGACCCTGCAGCGGACTGTTTGATTCGTTTCTGGTGTCTTGGCGGGCTCCGGGGCACAGCCGCCTTTCATCCCTCTAAACGCTCTTTGTGCTCTCTCTACTCGCTTGAAATCATAACTTCTTTGATGGGTGTCGGGCTTCGTGGCGATTATAACCTGCATTCGAGCGCTCTGCAACTTGCAGGCGACAGACCTCTGCCGCCGGATATGATGGCAGGACCACGAAATACGCGTCTGAGACTTGACTTCATGCGGTGTACCTATGCCGGCGTGCATAGCTTGCGCTTCACCGGGCTGCTATTTCAATCATGCTCTACTGACGGCAAAAGTCCGCCACTTGAGCCCGCGTCTGCTGCACGTGCACGAATCTCTAATGGCGTCCGAGTACTTTTATCCGTCCACGCGCTGTACTTCATCAGAGGCCTCCCGTTCCACTTCGAATGCTGCTGGTGCTTTTCCAAGTTTGCCCTTCTCCGCGTGTCCACACACACTACAAAGTCCCTTTGAGCAGAGTATTACGTCGCGCCCGGCGCAAAGTCCAAAATAAAGAACCCATAGAATCAACTCACACCCAAAACGCCGTATCCGAAGGGTGGGTATCGGCATGCGCTAGTAACGAGCCTATTTCTAAGTTGTTGTGAAGAGCGTGTCCTCCTCCCGCAGATACTCCCCGATGTCCGCCTGGCGGAAAGTCGTAATGGCCGTCGGCTCCAGTCGCCGCGCCTCCGCCGTCGACCGCGCCGTGACACCAAAACCCTGCAATTGTCAGTCCCGATTCGCGCGATCCTCGCAGCCCGACATACCAACGGCGTGTCCGCCATATTAAACACCACGACGCCCTGGTGCTCCGGGCAATCCTCACTCCAACGCCCGACGTGCGCCTTGACGACGTTGCCGCCGTACAGGAACGGCATCTCGCCGTTGGGTTTGACCCAGACTTTGTAGCGCGCGTGCGGCGCGATCACATCGAGCGCCGTGACGTGCAGCCGGAACTTGCCCGTCTTGGTGAACTTGCCTAGGCAGGTCCCCAGTGACTGTAGGTTTTGCCGCGCCACGCTGGTCGCCAGGTTCGCCAGCGACTCGCGCACGTAGTAGACGCGCGTGTGGTGTAGCCGGAAGACGTGCCGGTCCGGGTGGGCCGACTTGGAGCCGGACGGCGTAGGCGCTGCGTCGGTTAGGAGGTGCGTGAGCGAGCGGCCCGTGTAGTTGGCTAGCTTCTCGAAGAGCGTTTTCGTTTCAGGCTCGGTGAGGGGCCGCATGGTGTCGGTGACGTGCTGGTTGGGACGTCGAGCAGTGCGGTGCGGCTCGGAGCAGGAAAATATTTCCATGCGCCAAGATTTCGCCAAGATTTTGCGATCCCACCGAAGCCCGTCCGGAATCCCTCTCCACTCTTTCGACACCGCCTCACAGCCCTTGCACCTCCCACACTTTCGCACCGCAATGTCTCGACCGGCAGTAAAGCGCCGTCGTGTGTCGCCGCCGGCATTTGATGATGCCTGGAGCGTCGAGCAGGACTATGAGAAACTGCCTCGCAAGCACAAGCAGGAAAAGACCGCCAATAGGCTCCCGATCAAGACTGTCGAGGGATGGATCGAGCAGCCGGAAGCAGAGCAGGTCACGGGTGAGGCAAGCGACAGTTTTCTCGACTCCGATGTCGAGGATAAACCGCAAGAGCCCTTACTCGAGCGGAAATCTCGTCTGACAACCAAAGCCCCCCCCCGCCAGCAAATCCTCGCCGCGAAAGAAGAGCTTGCCCGTCTCGCGTCCCACATCAACGAGGACCCCGAGGAGCACGCTGGATCGCTGCGGAAGCTGGCCCGCGTAACCGCGGACAATGCGCCCAACAACGCCACGGTCAAGAAGCTCGAGCTTGCGGCGCGCATGGCCGTATTCAAGGACGTCATACCAGGGTACAGGATTCGGCCGCTGGAGGACGACGACGCCCAGGGCAAGCTGAGCAAGGAAGTCCGGAAGCAGCGCATCTTTGAGCAGGCCCTCATTGGCAGCTACAAGGAGTACGTCGAGGAGCTGGCAAAGCATGCCAAGGGAGGACGCAAACCCGACAATCCCGGGCTGGTGTCAGTGGCTATCGCTTGCGCGTGCGGTCTGCTCGAAGCCGTGCCGCACTTCAATTTTCGCGGCGAGGTCTTGAAGATCCTCGTCGGCAAGCTAAGCTCGCGCAGGGTGGACGACGACTTCAACAAGTGCCTCGACGCGCTCGAGA